TTATTATTTTTTTGTGTCGACCATATTATTTTGATTATTTTAGCTTTTTGGATAGTAGTTAGTACAGAAATAAATGTAAAATTTCTAAAGGGTATATTTTGTTGCTTCAGTATAAAACATAGCGTTAAAACAATTAATAAACTTTAATCCCCGAACAAAAATGAAATTTTCGAAAACTAATAAAAACAAAGCTTAATTAAAACATCTTGAATAACATTTGATTAAACCATGGCCGCCTAAAAAAAAAAGTAATAAACCCAAGTTAAAAATAATCCTTTCAAGTAATTTAAGATTTAAATTTAAAAAAAACTAACTATTTATAATTAAAATAGATTTTTTTCAATTTTAATTCTACTTATTTAAATTAATTTCGATTTACAAGGACAAAATTCTTAAATCAATTTACTATATTGTCTACATAACAAAATAATAATAATACACGTCATACATAACTCTACTAAAAGAAAATCCTGTACACTCATGACGAGCCATATAGCACATCATTATAGCGTTGAAATTAGAGTGATTATTATAAGAAAACGTTTCGATACAAATCTGTAAATTGCATTTTGATTTTAGTAGAGATTTTTGAATTATATAGCATGAACTCTCAAATTTTTAAAAATAAGTATAATTTATAAATTCTTTAATAAATAAATTATTTGAAAAAAATATTATTACATTAAATTTACTTAGTTGAAAATTTATATCTAATTTAGTATTGTAATTAATATAAATGCATATTAAAAAAGGGTAGCTTTCTTCCTTTTTGTATACTTATTGGATGATAAATAAAGTGATAAAACTGAAATAATACTAATTAACATTAATATGTTTATTAATATTTAATTTTTTTTTATAGCGAAATATTAAAAATAGTATTAGTTGTTATTTTGATTCCACTAGGTAAAAGGTCAGATTTTCAAAAAAAAAAACCCAGCACATGGGGGTCGCGGCACAGTGGTGACGTGGTATAGATGGATCAAGTATAATGATATCTGACAGTGATTAAAATCACTATAAAAAAAAAACGCTTCGATGCAAATCTTTAGATAGTGTTTAATTTTAAAAAATTGAAGGATTATTCCAAAAGCTTCATAAACTGCTAGTTCCTTATTAATATCCTGATTAAGACAAAGTATGTAGAATGAAAAAGGGATTATTAAAAAATAGAATTTCCCATAAAAAAATTATATTGATTAATACACTTTTCAATAAGTTATAGCATTATAAAGTTAAAAATGTAAAAAATAAAATTGAGAATTTTCACACAATAATAGCATTTGGTAGCCATTTTCATCGTGAAGACAAAATAAAGTCCGAAATTTGTTTTTTACATAATAAAGTAGATTACATTAGCTTTAATTTAATATATATAAAAAAGTGTCAGACTTTCCGGAACACTTTCAAAATTTAAGTTGAAAAAGTCAATTTTTTGTGAAAAAGTTGTCATTTTGAATCCCCCCCTGTAGGCAGGTAAAAAGTCAGATTTATAAAAAAAATATACCAAATGATAGGTAAAGACATCATGCATCTACAAAAAAAAGAATTATATTGATCCATACATCTTTCGAGAAGTTATAGCATTATAAAGTTAAAAATATAAAAAAGAATTTTTTTACAAAAATCGTATTTTTTTTATTAAGTTTAATGTCTGTTTTCACCATGAAGATAAAATAAAGTCCGAAATTTTTTTTTACCATTATAAAGTATATTACATTAGCTTTAATTTAAGATATATATAAAAGTGTCAGACCTTCCGGAACACTTTCAAAAGTTACGTTGAAAAAGTTCTACTTTCTATATGCATTTTTATGTTTTGAATCCCCCCTATATTAAGGGAAATGGTCCGATTTAAAAAAATAGTATGTCGAATGAAAGATCTATATAAATACTACTTCTCATAAAAAAATTGTAATGATTCATTCATTTTTCAAAAAGTTATAGCATAATAAAGTTAAAAATGGAAAATACAAAATCGAAAATTTTCACACAAAAATAGCATTCGGTAGCCATTTTCACCATGAAGATAAAATAAAGTAGGAACAAACACAAATCAAAAAAATTAATAATAAATAAATCATAGTAAAATAATACCTTCTCAGTTTTGCATTAAAGCTGAAATGTGTCTATCATTAACAAATAGAAAAATGTTTTTTAATTATAACATCTTCAATAAGTAATTATCAAATAGAGTGATTTTAACAAAGTAGCCTTTATATAAAAAATAAATTAAAAGCAAATTTGCTTCTGTGTTATCTTTGTTTCAAACAAAAAACAAACGACATATGACATAACATATGAAGTTGGAATATTAATAAGAATATAAGAAAAGAATATTAATTTGTTTACCAAAACATTATAATAATATTTAGTCTAGATTTTGTCTAATTAATTATATATATATATATATATATAATAATACTTATAAAAACATATAGACATTTCTATTCCAAAACTGAAATTAAATTTCAATCAAACGAATATTTCATGAATTTATGTAATGAATACAACTTTAAGGTTGGAAAAGGCTCAGTTCAAAATGAGGAAGTCCATCAAAATGAAAAATCGTTTTCTATGAAAGATATTATACCCAAACATAAGCAGAATGAAATCTGCAAGTAGTGAAACGGTAAATAAACATTTGTAACAGTAAGGATAGAAGTAAACGAGTGGTTTGAGCCTTCTGAGGAGCTTATCAAACGAAAAGCGTTATTATATATTATATCGGTATTGTTAGTTTTCATTCATTCGCAAGTTGAAAGCGTAGTAAAGGTGATTTGACAGTAATTCTGTTTTCCAACTAAGTTCACATATATTAACAGTATTTTGTATATCGGTAATATTAATAACATATATACAAATTGGACGATATTATAATAGATATCAATGAGATAATTAATAATTCCTTATTCGAAAGTTTAAGAACTTGTACGAATTTTTAACCACAAGGTTAATATTACTTAAATTTGTTTCATTATCATAAAATAAAAGTCAGTTGAATTATTTTTGAGAATTTCGATTTTACGTAAACAAAAGTTGATTTATTTTAACTAATTTATACAAATAATTAAATTTTATACAAATATCATTATTTATTTCATACAATTATATAATAAATTATAGTTTATAATTATTAAAAAAAATACCAGTAGGTAAAAAATACAGCACGGGGGGTTCGCAGCATAGTTTAGACAAGTATAAGATGTCTGAGAGTCATTAACATTACTATCATAAAACATGAAAATCTGTTATATTTCACAAAAAATGTACATATTTTTATAACATCAAAATTTCACTCAAATATTGTTAAATTATTTTCCTAATTCAAAATAAATTATTATTTTTGTAAAATTCCAAACTTTTTACTTTGACAATCGGTTTCTCATAGGAAAACATACGCGGGATGTTTTTTTTTAAATTAATACAAAATTAATTTTTTTTTCGAACAATAAGCACATTTTAAAAGCATTAATTTAATATAGGTTAAAAGTTGTCACACTTTCCAAAACATTTTCAAAAATTAAGTTGAAAATAGTTTGATATGCGTCTCTTTCAAACCCTTTCTATACTTAGGTTTTTAAATGAATTTCTATAAATCATTCAAAAGAAAGCTACTTGCCTCAAGTGAACTCGTTTAAAATTTCATTAGGATCAGTGTTTCTTGTTTTTCTTTAGGTTTTGAAATGAAAAAATAAGATTTTAAAAATTCCATATTATTACGGTAACGTAATATTGAGATATTTTTTTGAGTTCTTAAAATTGAGACAATTTTTTCAAATTTTCACGTAGATAAGTTCAACTAGATTTAAATTGAGTTATTTTGACGCATAAACCAACAAAAACGGTCCAGTATAGGTGAGAATTTTAATGAATAGACATAAGAAAAAACTCATCATGATAAAATCAATACCTTTTCACCTTCGCTAAAATTAATTAAACTAAATAAATTAATATTTACAATCAAGTAAACATAAACATTTAATATCAAAATAATACTAAATGCATCAAATCTCACAATTGGGAACGTCATAAACGCAATCAGCGTAATTTTTAGTCAATTTTAATCACATCTTTAATAATTTAATTTATTTTTAAATAAAACAAGAAGATATTACGAATTAAGTATAATTTTAACGTATGGAAACAATTTGTCCGCGCATTAATATTTCATGTTTTAAACTAATAATATTTCAATAATTATAAAATCTAACGATAAAAAAAAAGTTAAAAGTTAAAATATCAAAAATATTATTACTGAGGTATGTAAAATTCATATTTTAACTATTAATTTTTATAGAAATTTTAATATAATTTCGATAAAGTAATTAAATATTGAATGAGTTATTTAGACGTAAATTAAGTTACAAAAATATCACTCCCAGACAATAATTACAGGTTAATACACAATTCAATTAAAATAATTAAATCAGTATTACAACTGTTACAAAATAATTAAGTATACAATTCAAATGTAATTCTGTTTGAAGCAATAGAGATTTATTAATTTATTTAATTTATTAATTTTTAAAACCAAGTTAATACTTTTTAAAACCATGTAAACTAAAATTTACTATTTAATTATGTATCCAACAATTAAACGCTATATTTAAGGTTTTATATTTTTACAATAATATCATAATATTATTGCAAAAGAAAAATCTTAAGAATGCATTCTTAAAAAAAATGCCCGAACTTAATTTTTGATAAAATGTTATATTTTCATACAAATTTTCGATACTATACGTTAAAACTACACTACTGGTGTGTGAAATTAATAAATAATTATGTTTATTAAAAAAATATCATACAGATTTAAGGCAAATTTTAGTTCGTTTCTTACAGTGAAAGGAATTAAATAACATTCTATTTTTCGAAATTTAATCGAAGCATTAGTGCAAATATAAAGTTTATCGAAATAAGAGTATTACAAATGATAAAGAATTTACTAACTGCTGATTTATATTCTATAAACAGTACCAACTAACAAGTTTTCTTACCTGTAAGTTTGGAGGGCAATGATCCAACAACTCCAGCATATGTCTTATGTTTTGTGCGTCTTGAATAATAAAGTTTAATTCCATATCGAACTCGCCACCAACCAACTACAACAGAATCACATTAAGTTCTGGTTAGTTTTACATATATGTACAAACATTAAATAAAATAAATAATAATTTTGGCATACAACAAATAGTAAATGTTAATATCGGTTTAACATTTTTTTTATAAAAACATTACATTTTTACATGGAATAAGTCTTGAAAATTCTAATTTCAATTTTCTGCTGTAAAAATATTAAGTTCATAGAGCTTATATATTTTAATTTCAGATTAATAACTATTTTCTGTACTAAGGAAAGCATAAGATAAAGTTATAAGAAAAAAATTACGAAAGCTAAATCGAAATTTTAATTAAAATTTTAATATTCAATTTTACTCTACATGACATAATTTGTATGTAAAAAGAATATATAGAGAACAATGTTTATAGAAACCAGTATCCAACTTAAGTAGAAAACATTATAATATGTATATCATAATATTATTATGTAAATACATTGAAACTATAAACTTTAATGACATTGGGTCATTTTTCATGAACTGAGAAACATGTAAAATTTAACATATTACATTAAAAAGATAATTTATTCAATAAAATTAATAAAAAAAAATAATCCCAACCGTGTTTTTTGTCTATAATGATATTTTTTAACACAGTATATTGAAAATCATCGCTAAACATAAAAAAATCATTTAAAAGTTTTAAATTGAAAAATGATTCTAATAAAAAACAAATTAAGAAGTTCATGATAAGACATTATCTTAAACTTAAGTAAATTTTAAATTTTTACATCAGTTCTAACTTAAAACGATTACCCATGTCACAATAAAGTATTGTTACTATACTAAACACTACAAAACATAATACGAATAACTTTCCAATGGTTCCCTTCATCTTCAAAATGTTCACGCAAATTGCTAACTGCCACCTTATTATATTGTTTATTAGGGACTATTTACGCATGAATTCACATTTATAAATCCTCCAAAGTAAAATATAGAAGCTAAAGATAAACAATAATAGTATCGTCTAGACGTATGTGTTCAGGTGCACATGCTAAAGCTCCTTTGAGAGTTGAGAAACACTACATAGTTGTTTAACTTCCAATCAATTTTAGCCTGGAAACTTTACGAAACACTGTAACAAATAACTTTGAATTTAGTTCATTTTGTAACTATTCTACATGAAATTTAGATAAATGCTTGAAATACAATTCACGAAAATAGATTTTTACAAATAATAATATAATCACGAAAAAATAGAACTATGACAAATTGTTACATTTGGTAAAAACAAAATTGAAATTCAGTACAGCAATTATGTAGCTCTACCCAGATATCATTTATATTGCATTATTACCTTATTGAATACATTGAACATTTTGATTAAGACGCAACTAGCAAGGCATTTGTTCATGTGATTCTTAGTGCCCTCCAGATTTGGCAGATTCCTTATATTTTTTATTAATAATTATTCATTTCAGCCATCGTACAATAGATGTCCAATCAAACACAAAAAAAATAATAGTAATCGAATAGGAAAAAAAAATGGTATCGTTTTGTGTTCCTCAAAACCATATTATGTCAATGGTTTTGATATGTTTAATTTTAGGTAAATATAAATCGTATCAAAAGTATGGATGTGATTTTATACTATCAACAAATAAGATTTTTTTATCGATAATTGATGAATAATGAAACAAAATAGTTAAGTTAGTTAAAATTCTGTTCAAAATTGGAACAAAATACACATCGCGGTCTGTTACACTTAATAAATGAAACGCAAGCTGATTGGCATTATTAGCAGATAGTACACGAACAATGAACGTTCGTTAAGGCTTTGAATTGTGTGAGTGTGGCTCATCACTAAGTATTACACGAGTACTAGGTATCAACTATATCGTTATCGCGTAATACTGAATAGGAATTAGATTGTAATATAATAGTAGTAGTTTGTATTCATAAACAGATACGTCTTAGAAATATTTCATTAAAATAGGTTTGATCAATATAAATTTTTGTTAAATTTGTCGAACTAAATAATTTAAAATAAAAATAACTGAACATTAATGTAATACGCATAGACTTTAAGCAATACGTTTTGTACAACTATAGGTTATTCTATATAGCTATTTTCGTTTAAAATTTACTTACATATCTAAATTAAATGATAATGAGATTACTAATTTGTACACAAATTTGTTGTTAATTTGGTATTAATAAAAATGTTGCATCAAATTTAATGATATCGGATATTTAAAATATATTTTAATTAAACATTTTTACACATCTAAACAGCTTCAAAATTTAATTAAAAATAAGAAAACTTAATAAAACGCTAAAAATATAAGAGATTTCTTTTCTTTATTTTCACCGTGTTGACTGTTGCGCAATTAATGATATATAATAAAAGAAATACGTATACTGCAAAGTTGTAGTGTAATGTTGCGGTTTTTTTGTTCTATTTCAGTGCCTTTTTCTCCTGAACCACTTTAAAATTCTCAACAAAATGAATGTGTTCAGACTCTTGACATCTCTAGTTTTAATTATTATATTAAATGAAGTATTCATCTATTGTTTTTGTTACAAGTACCGCAAAGTCGAATGAATTATCACAGAAGAAAATTTATGAAACATTAAAATATAAACAAAAGTCTTGCATTGGTTATTTCTATGAAAATGTATCAATATTACCCAAACAACGAATTCAAAATGTCTTATTTTTATTTGTGTTAGATTTAACAGTGCACGATTTAATTTTTTCCTTCACAACAAAATATTATTCAATCATCACAAGTCCAGTAAAACTATACTAAACAAAAACACTCATCAAAGTCCTGAAATTTTAGAGATTGATATTAAATTAATACATATAAATAAATAATTGTTAGCGTATATTTGAACATAATAATTAGATAAAAAAAAAACAAAAAATATTTTTAAAAAACAATTACATTAAAAGTGATTAAAAAAAAAAGTAAAAAAAACTTTTGGTTACTTAAAAAGGTATGTTTTAATCAAAAAACTTATGAATTCCCATCAAAATTATGATTAGTTACCATACGCAAAGCTATTAAAATAATTCAGTATTCAACATTTACAACGTTTTTATATAGTTATCAATTTTCATTAGAATATTTTTAATGCAAGTTGTACTCCATATTAAAATACACAATAAAAAAAAGTATTTTCATGTAGTTTATCGTGTTTAGATAGGATAAAACATCAAGAACTTGATTGAGTTAATTTGTTATTGACACTTTTTTCACTTTAGTTAAAATTAAAGTTAATTTCCATAATAAAAACTAATAAACTGGTCTTCATAACCTCAATCTTTGATTTTAACTAACAGTAAAAAATGTATATGTTGCGTAATCCATAAAAATTTTTGTGGGCACGACACAACACGAAATACAATTTAAACTCACACACAACACGTTACTCTACTTTAATAACACCGTTATTATTCTCGAGAGAAACAAACAAGTCGGCAAGATGAACAAAATGATACAAGTGTGAAAGTTACCCGTAAAGTTTTCATGTTACCGTCAAAGATACAAAATGTATTCATAAAAGCATCGCCAAAGAGAAATGAAACTTTAATAAAACGTGCGAACAAGGTAGAAGACATTATAGTTTTTGACGGATTTCGTACAACAGGTTTTCACGATACTTGCAACAGTTTATTTAAAAAAAAAAAATACTTAAATAATACATACAATAGTACGGTTATGAGTTTACAATGAAACTATATCTCATTATTAATAAGTTATAGTCAATGAGTTATGAGCTGTTAAACGTAAATACTTGCACTTTTGCAATGAAAAAAAACTAGAAATAGTATAGTATAGTATTTCCTAAGGACAATGAAATCGTCTAAATTCACACAATAATATTAAAATTAAGAAGAAATATCTATAGTAAATTTACCACTAATAAATTAATAAATTAACTGAGTAAATTTCAAAATACTATTTCATTTAGCGCAATATAATCAATTTTATCAATAAACTTAAACCAACACATATTTAAAAATTTTAATTATAGTTATCTATAACTATTATAATAAATAAAACAGAATTTACAAATTTAAAGACCTAAAATATGTGTTTAAAATTCACCCATCATATTTAACTTAGGTTAATTCCTTTACTTAAGCAATTCAAGCTTAAACAAAATAACATGTACGTTTTACCTTGTTTATGAATAATAACGATGGAGATCTACGAACATAAAAATTATTTTATCACATGTGAACGGAATTAATGCACAAACAGCTGAAGTGCACATACGACTCTTTGTTATATACTTGACATATTTACCAAGCTAATAAAACCATTATTAAAATTTATTATCCGGTAATAAGATAACACCTCTCAATAAGATAACAAAAAAATAAAGCGACATTCAGAATTTTACATTACTATAGTGACATTAATAAGTTAACAACTTAAAAAATAACATTACTGCGTTTTTTAGTCAGACAGAATTTATTTTTTTTTAAGAAACCTATAAAAATCAACAAGAATATTCAAAAATTATTTATTGACTACAACATGAAATAATACAAAAAGGATTTTATCGTCAGTATAGTAAGAAGACTACTAAAGATTCAGGCTTAAAGTTACGACCATCAAAAATTCATTTATAACTTTTAAGTACCTTAATTATTTTGAGTCAAGATTCTTTTACAAAAAATTATTTTAAAAATAATCATAATAATAAAATGATTTGAAACATTTAAAGAACACAATGAAAAGCTGTACGTAAAAAGATCAACACTAATAATAATAATACTGTTTAAATTATATTTAAAAAATAACGTTTATTTAATTTAGTAAAAGTTTTTCAGAAGCAAAATTACAGCCAATAAAATTTAAATATCAACAGCTTATACATATTATAGACAAGATAAATTTCGTAAGTATTGTAAAAACTCAATTCTTCAATTAAAGAAAAAAAAAATTTTAAATTCCCGTTTTTCTTATTTAATAATGGTCAACAAAACTATATTTTTTTAATTGTTAGAGATAAATATAATAAATAAAGAGATAAGAATATAATAAGAATTTATTACCCGTTATTAACATTACATAAAGTTAAAAATATTAATTTAAAACTAGAAAATATAAAAAATATTTAACTCAAAGAGTCATAAAAAATATTCAAAAATTGGATATGCGTATATTGGGAACAAATTTATTATCATCAGCACTAAACACATAGTAGGAGGATAACTTTTCTAAATCAATTTTTCGTATGAATTCATCATCTGCAATAAGATTTTTTCTATCACTTCAACGATTTGAGCTAGTAACTTTTTAGTAAAAAACTAGTAATTAAAAAATCTTTCATATATAAAAATTTTTTTCGTATATTATTATTAAAATCATATTTTCGAAATTTTAACAATAATCCATGCAAAATTTCGATCTAAAATTACATGTTCTTAATAACATATTTATACTATAATTGTAATCTTAAAGTTATTGCGGATATTTTTAAATATACAGAGTGGCCCACCACTCACTGACAACTTAAATAACTTTTGATCCAGTTAATATTTTTAGCTGATTTTTTTTTAAATAATAATTATACGTTAGGTCTATAGTTATATCTCGATAATTAATTTTTTTACATTTTATTAAAAATATTAATTATTTTTAAATTTTAAATAAAATGTAAAAAAAAAATCTAAGATAGCTATTTTGTAGAGTACAATTTAAGAAAAATTTTAGTAAAAAAATATCTTATTAATATTGAGTAGTAAATATTCTGTAGCGTTTTGAAGTCTGTGAAATTTTGAATTTTCATGTATTATTTTACGCTATTAAACATTGAAATACGTAATGAGAAAAGGACAGAAGAAAACGCTATCTTTTCATGATTATTGTGTATACATATGATGATAATGTGTATACATTACAAACTTGGCATTAATACCATGATAAGAAATTAGATAAGGCAATTATTACTTATCACTCTCATTCAAAAGTATATATTTAAAAAAAATATCATTTTTTTACTAAAATTTTTCTTAAATTCTACTCTACAAAATAGCTATCTTAGATTTTTTTTTACTTTTTATTTAAAATTGAAAAATAATTAATATTTTTAATAAAATGTAAAAAAATTAATTATTGAGATATAGCTATAGACCTAACGAATAACTATCATTTAAAAAAAAAATCAACTAAAAATATTAAATGGATCAAAAGTTATTTAAGTTGTCCGTGAGTGGTGGGCTACCCTGTATAAAAAGTTGAACTATTTAACATACCTTTTAGCTTCAATGCGATGCTGAGAAGAAATTAATTTTACTGAGTTTTTTTTTATTTTTTTGTCTTTACCACTTTTTCTCAGCTCTAACCGAATCGATTTCTTTCAACAATACGTCAAAAGATCATAAATCATAAGATATTACCCTTAAAAATTTAAAAAATTTCCCTCGTTCCCCGTAAATAGGAGATAACCCTAAAATTGTTTTGATTTTTAAAATAATTAAATTTCAACTTTTTTATTTTTTTCTATAAACTGTCATAACTTTTTTAAAAATTAATGAAACAAAATAATTTTGTTTTTTTATAATTACTCTAAGCATTTTGCTTTTATTTGGTATAAGTTATTTAAAAATTAGACCACCACGGAGTTTCAAAATAGCAACTTCTGCTCAAGAATTTAACTTTTTCATTTAAAGTTTCAATTTAAAATATTTAAAAATCACTAATTTTCGATAATTTTTCAATTTTTTTTATTTAAAACTGCCATAACTTTTTCAAAAATGACCAAATCAACATAAATGTTTAATTTATAGATGCATGATGTCTTTACCTATCATTTGAGATATTTTTTTTGTATATTTGACCCTTTACCTCTCCACAGGGGGAGATTCACAATGACAAATTTTTCAACTTAATTTTTGAAGATGTTCTAAAAATACTGACACTTATATATTTATATTAAATTAAAGCTTATGTAGTATACTTTAATATGAAAAAGAAAAATTTCAGACTTTAGTTTGTTTTCATGATGAAAACTAACATCAAAGTTAAAAAAAGAATAAGATTTTTTTTAAAAAATTCTTTTTTATATATTTAATTTTATAATGCTATAACTTATTGAAAAGTGTATGGATCAACAGAATCCTTTTATGATAAATACTATTTATATACCTCTATTATTCGACATACTTTTTTTTAAATAAAACCATTTCCTTTTACATATTTATTTATTATGAATATATATAGATATTTATTTATTTATTCATATATTACACTTATTTATTTATGTATAATTTTAACAGGCTTAGCCCTTTTTACAATATCAGGTTATTAAACAGTTTTATAAAATAATATCAGTATAAATATAATTCACAACGATTCAATAGAATATTTGAAATAATATTAAAAAAAAAAAAATTACCATTAAAAGTATAAAATAAGAAAAAGGAAGTGGTTAACAAGATAACATATGTGGGTCCATATTGGCACTATTTAAAATTCTTCTAATCGGCTCATTTTGTAAGTAATTTGTAGACCTAAATCATAAAATCATAAAACTTGTAATCAGGATATAAATAAGGAAATAGGAGTTCATTTTGCTTTTAGAATATTTCTTAAGCATTTTTTTTGAAAATTAAACACTATCTACAGTATTGCATCGAAACGTTTTTTATGATAGTGATTTTAATCACTGTCAGATATCATTATACTTGACCCAACTATGCCACGTCCCAATTGTGCCGCGACTCTACTGTGCTGAGTTTTTTTTTTATTTCAACTAACAACTTTTAAATTAACATAATTGAATAGAAATTTTCATGAAGGTTTAAAAGCGGTACTATTTAGATTGATTGGAACTTATGAGAAATCTTGAAATTCGATAAAATCACTATTTGTTTGTGTATATATCGTAATAAATAATTTCAAAAGAAATCTTAGCAATCAGCTATATGTAAATCTTAGCGTTTAAAAAGATGCAATTTTCAGACTTTAATTATTTAAAAAAATAAAAACCGGTAAAATAGAATCCAATTATCAAATTTTACTTGAATGGTAAGTTTAAATGTACATGAATTATTAAAAAAATCTAGTATTGTTATACTTATATCAGTATTTCTTAACTATTATTAAATAGTATTTAATTTGTAGTGTGATAACTTTACGCATTCTAAACAAAATTAATTAATAATTTTCATTATATATCTTCATGCTACATTAGTTTTTAAATTAGTTCGTTATAAATAGTGTGTTTAATAAACACACTAATATACATAAAAGCTGTTTATATATAAAGGAAATCCAAAAAAATTAATTATCAACATGATACGTTCGTTAAATTAACAACTCTGAACAATTATGATTCTGTACAAAAATTTAGGATGATTGAAAATTTCTTTAAGTAAACATTTGATAAGTTTATTGTAAGAGAAGGTATTACATATTATAGCTATAAATAATCTAAAGACAACCCCTTATTACGTATATAATATTAAATTGTAGTAAATCCGCATCGTATCCATACAACACTAAGTCTCATACATCTTGGAAATAATATGCGCATTACGGCTTTTCAGAGACCTTGGCATAGTAAGCCATCTTTTACCTCTAAATATGAAATAGACTGAAACAACGGTTAGGATGAAACCTTCATTATTCAAAAAATATATATTCAAAAGAAACATATTCATGNATGAAACCTTCATTATTCAAAAAATATATATTCAAAAGAAACATATAACTATAAAGAACTTCGATATGCTATTATAATAATAATATTCTTTTTTTAATAAATGTGGAAAATATAACAAGATTTTATACTTCAAGACAATATTAAAATGTTCGATCAACTTTTAATGAGATTACTACATTACTTTTGACAGAATAATGATGGACATATGATGAAATATAACCTTAAGGTAATGTACTGTTTTCAAATATATTATTTTGAAATAAAATCTATTTTCAAACACAGTGTTTGATATGTAAGTTGAGAGCAAAAAACCTAGATCAAATTACATTACTCTTTAACAGTATTATTCTCAATGTTCTTGTAAATTTGTACACCGTCATCGAAAACTAAATAACTCTAAGACTTACAATTAATTAGACTTAGAATATTATTGAAAAAATTTAATTTTAATAACAATATAAAATTACTTTATAAGGTGTTATACCAAAATAAAATGTTAATATACAGAGTATTCACTAAGTGTGGAAACAAGTCAATTGTTACAAACAATGAAAACAATAGGAACTCGTTTCCTTTCTTACTGAACACTTTATATATAGCGTAGGGATTATAAATACAGGTAACTAATAGTTTTTTTTATGACGTTCCTATTACAGAACGGAGCGTTCATTGTCAATTATGACTTTATCAATAGATATGCTTTCTTCATTGCTTATTGGTGTATTTATAAACTCACAACAATGAACCTTACTACCATTGATAATAAATCCTGCGCATCTGTGAATATAAACGTGAGAAATAAACAATTAACTACCAGTATTTATAATCGCTCTAGTATTGTACACGTATATTTACTCAAAATTTTTAAACTTTCATATTTAATAAACAAATAAAGTTGTATTAAAAATTCAAATGCCATATATTATTAAAATTAAAACTCAAAAATTTTATTAAATTCAAAATATGTATTCCCATAAAAAGAAAAAAAATAAAGTTCACACCCTTACAAGGCAGAAGGAATGAATTTAAAAAGTACTACATAGTTGATAATTCAAGAATAATATGTAATTAAAGGAAAAAAAAATTTTTAATTATTTTTATTTTGTGAGTAACTGAGTGGGTTATGATAAAAAAATCATTCTGTATATTGATATAATAGGTATTAATTATCTATTAGAAAATAAATGTGGTATAAACTTAAGTAGAATATTGCATTGAAAAATTGAACTAATTCCTTTTTGTAAAAAAAAAAAAATGAAATGGATTGAGAAAAGTTAATTTGCTTATATTTGTTTCCGAGAACAAAGACTCGACAAATAGCATTAGCCTTATCTATATACAATAATCAATTCAATGAAAAGTGCAAAACGACCAAAGGTCGATTTTGATTTCATTATAATATATTATAAGTATATTCGTTTTTCTTCGTGCTATGCAGCAAAAAGCGCGAGGTGTGTACCAAACGGGAAAACTAATAAAGGGTAATGCAATTTTCTACTAAACCCTTTGGTTCAGAACTCACCAATCCAACCCTTTAGTTGTAATTAAGCGTCACAAATACTGAATGAATACTGATTTACAGATTTCAAACTTTAATTCGATAAAACTATAGCACATTCCAAAATTAATAACAGGTTTAATAAGTCAAATCTGCCAAGCAAGTAGGTTTTTATATTTTAAATAAATAAAATAGGTAATAAGAAAACAAGAAATAAAAATTAAAAATATTGATTGAACTGTAGAAATGGTATTATAAATTAAACATATTTTGAGCTAATTGATTTTTTTTTAGTTCAATAATAATTAAGGTATTTTATTTCTATGGCAAATATAAGTTATACGTTAAAATACTGACAAACAACCAGCGTCAGATTTTGAAAAATAAAATTATCTGAAAAATACGTTTTTAATTTTTATCTTGTTGTCCAGTTAATATTAAAAATAAATCTTATCTATATAAGTATAATTGTAATGGTACACTTGTCTATGCAGCACACAGTGAGATGTAAAAAAAAACACGTGCATTATTACACGTCGTTAAGTTGGTGTCAACATGCAGCGATCAACTAAATGATAATGATCCGCCAATTGTCATTGGCGATGTACACAATGAAATAGAGATAAGAAATACCGTAAAAACTTCAGAATCGTTCGTTAGAAAATTTTAATTTTATGTAACGCGTATGTTTTGTGCGTGTAACACGGTTATGTTATAATATTAAATATTTGTGGTATTCACATGATGCTCGAGATGTTATATTATTAATACAAGTATCATTCATACATTACAAGAAGACATTTGTCATCAATATACGTCAAAAAAAAAAAAATTCGGAAAACAAAACATTTTCAATGCGGATCATCAACGATAATATGACGAGTAGAGCAGAGCACACAAAACAGAAGACACTTTTGTATGAAATTATCATAAAACACAACCACTACACAAATTATTTTCCCTCGCTTATAATATTATGTATATTGAATAATATGTTAATAAGTAATAAAACAATTTTATAAATAAAATGCAACATTTAAGTTGTTTCATTTCATATTTTGTTGATAGTAAAAATATCATTTCATACTATACATATTCATGTATAAGTTGCTATGTAGCGAATTGTTGGACTTCAATTTCTTTTTTGCAGAATATTGTTGTATCGAAAAACACTGATATATTTTTAAAATCATGAATATACCAGAATGCTCTAAACACTCATAATAACTGTTAACACACAGAACCTGGCGCATTCGCTAAATTTGTTGAGACACTTAAATTGTTTTTCTTAAAAAAAAAATTATGAATTGAAACATAGCACGTTATTTCTACTCAGTCTTTTATTAAATAATTGTAATGTACTTGTTATGAAGCTGTTGAAAACAATGCGTGTTAAATAAAAAAATTATTTAAAATTCTTGATTGTGTTAAAAAGACGAGTATTTATTTAAAGATTTTAAGAGGCATATATACACACCTCTACGGGTATTCTAATATACTCAAGTTTACATACAATGACATTCCAATTTATTTTCTGATTCGTTTTGACAATATATTTGTTTAGTGGTTCATGTGCAAACAATTCCCTTGGGCTTCAGAAAATAATTCAATAATAGAAGTCCAAAAAAATAAAAAAAAAATAACAAATTTTACATCAAGCTATTCAACTTAGATGAAAAATCAACTAAATAAACATTTAATACTTGTTAAATTATACACTTATCAAACAAGACAAAAAAAAATCGATTTGAATTATAATCATATTTTTACATTGTGTTTGATTTTTAACGAAAACTTTAATTCTTTTATAATTGTTTAGACATATAAAAAACACATTGACAAACGATAAAAATATAACTGTAATACTATTATTAGCCATAGTGATCGTTATTTTTCTAGTTAAAAATAATGATATAAATCTTATATCGTTTATAAATGAAATTTAGTTGACGTTGGCTTAAAACTTTGTTACCAACAAACAACCTTCATCTTGATACACAACTTTAACAAACAGTACTATAAACTAGATATTTTTCCTGATTACGCACATTTCATAACAGAGTATTGTAAACAATTTCATTTTAACTTCATAAATGAAAATTGTGTATAGCAAATTATAAAAATAGAAAAACGATTTAGTTAGGAATCGTATGACTTATAGTTATAGTGCATGAATTACTTATTACTCAAATTTCATTACACGAGATTAAATTTAATTAACAAGTTTGCCAGTATAAATATCATTATGATGTTCATTTTAATGCAAACTGATTATAAATGATACAACGATTGAAAACAAGTCAGCTTAATTACACTTCCCTAATTTTTGCTAGTATGAAAGGGCGAACATAAAAGATGAATAAGTTGAGCACAGAAAATTACAATAATTCTAATATTCAAATGTAACGAGACGTTAATACAGTTACTTATTATTTAAAATAAAATATATGTATCAACGCGTTGTGTTATAATAAATATCTATACTAATTATACAATCGTGAAGTCGTCGTTTAAAATTATTCGTTATATCTGCAGCGTCACTATTTGAGTGCTAAAAATTATTTTAATAAGTAATGAGACGTAACTGTAAAGCTTGGCCAGCTATCAAAGGCATTTAACTATGACGAATATCATTTAAACAAATTATTGACGTGCATTTTAAGCAAATTGATGTTAATTGCAATTTTTATACTATCTCAAAATAGTACTTAAGGTTAAAATCATTTCTAAAAATTGACTAAACGCCAAATAAACAGAACACAATACAATGACACAATTTCATAAAACGTAATTTTAACACGGGCAACAAAAAATTAATTAGGTGAAATAATTTTAAAGTATAAAGTTAATAAAAGAAATTATTAATACATCGGTTAAAAGAAAAATTGAGGATTGCTTGAAAATTCATAAAATACAATGATCTAAAAATCTTTAAATAGGATTTTATAGTCAAACAAAAGAATTATAAATATTCATAAAAGTAGGGAAATATGAACGAAATCAAAACAATTTTCGGTTTATAAAGGTATTTTTAAGTATGCCTATTCAACTATACCAGCCGATTTGTAGGATTTTCATTATATTAAAAATAATTTTTCCCGACAAATGTTTAGTAATATATAATTTATAGATGTATTACAAACATATAAAATCTATGCTTTTAAGAAGTTTATAGTTTTTTATGTATTCATTGATTACATTATACAAAAACCACGTATAGGTAAAAGAGACCAATACAAAATAAAAAAATTACTAACTATAGATAATTTTTTTCTTCTCTTATAGAATTTTTTTATAATAGATATTCTAAAAAAAGTTATAAATAAAAATCATTTTCGACGTTAGTACGTACTGCAAATGACAAAACACCTTAAGTTAACGCATTCAATTACTATCAAAATAAATATTATTATTTTTGGCTTATTTAGTTACATATTATTCTAGGTTTATCAATTATTAATCACTTTTTCGGTTAAACTGAATATCTTATAGGGACGTCAACATTATTTGTTTAAATTTGCAACATATATATTTTTATATTTGACTAAAAAAATATTAAAAATCGAGATTGTCTACAAGTCATATACTATCTCGATTTTGAATATTTTTTTTTGTTTAATTTTAGGAGTTATTTAAATGAGACCAAGGAACAATACTCTACCCTATTATATTTAAAGATAAATGCAATAAAAATTTGAACAAAGTTATTACATTACGGTACTTGTATTATGTCATGTAAACACGTACAGATTAGTTTTAGCTAAAGCTAATCTATACAGTAAATGTTTCACTTATTTATGTAGTAATCAGAACTTCATAATACACGACTCTTATAATTTTTAAAAATCAAAATTAAATGACATTATTAATTATTAGTTATATAAAAATTAGTATTCAGGCTCGTTAGAATTTAATGAACTAGTAGATCTTTCGATAAAATAAAAATAATACTTAATATAATTTATGTTTTAGTTTTTTTAGATAAATATTTTTTCCAATATATCAATCGTGAAGTATTTCTCAGGTTTATACCTTAGGGGTCTAAGTAAGTACCTCTAAGTCTCCGATTTCCATCTATACAGTTATTAATTACGTAAAGTATCTCAGAAACTTTAAATAATAAGAAAAAAATTGTTCTATCCCCTCTTTTTTCCTCTAAAAATTGTACCATCTTCTGTTTTTTAAGTGATAACATACGTGTTTAACTAACTTAAAAATAAAAAATTACTATTTGATAACTATAAACTATCTACTAATTCGTTATTATAAAAAATATAAGTATTTTTAAATACTGTTGGGATGAGAAAACCAGTTCAGAAATAAAAATAAATATTCAGACCCGCCCTTCTTTTCCATCATTTATTTTAAGTGTTAATTTTCTAAGAAATATTGATTCAAAAGTTTTTTCAATCAGTAATTTTTTTATTTATTAACTAGTTATACACATAAGTTTCCATTAAAAAAACTAAAATTAATACTACTTTAAGGAAAAAGGATAGGGGATAGAACTGTTTTTCGTGTTAATTACAACAGGTAGGATACATATAATTTCTTTAAAAAGGAAATCACATTTTATCTCATACTCTTAAATATATTGCGTAAGATATAGTTAGCATATCACTTTATGTATCTTATATTAATAGTGTCAATTACAATCAAATAAAAACTTTTTACTTAAACTAGTTTTTTAGACATACTATAGTAAATCGTAATCCACAATAAGTTAAAGCAATTTTTACTTCTTTTTGTTTTTAATTAGGAAAGTTTTAAGACGGATTTAAAAAACATTATTTACTTCATTTAATGTATACTTTAATACATTAACTTAATTTGATTATTTTCTAATTAAAACGTTAATTTTGGTTTCAATGTTTTTTTATTGCATACTAGTAAAAAAAATGTCAGTTCCTTAGACTGTAAGAGAATAGTATTGATTTATAAATGAATCATGGTGTTTAAAGAGAGATAAAATTAAATTTTTGTCCTCAGCTCATTATGTGTCTTAAAACAGATCAAGTTTATTGAACTTAAACTGTCAAGAGTCAAATAAAGGGAGTAACTTGAGAAATAATTTTAAGTAGGTTTGGAATTCTGTGAAAATGTAAAAGTCATTCGTCAAAAGTGAATGTTTTAAAGTTTTATAACGAACAAAAAAAATTAATTAATTCCTTTTGTTAAGGATAATCGATCCATTGAAATATCGCCAGTATTCAGGCTTCACAACAATAACATTAATTTTTCTGGTGAAACTGCATAATTGTTTTTAAGGTGAATTTTATTTTGCCATTTTAATAGGCTCCATATCACAGTAAATTATTATGATTAATTCGTTATTTCTACAATCAGAAATTATAATAAATATAATTCAGCTTTCAAATTACTCAACAAAGGAAATGCGTCAATTCATTAAATGTTTGAATATAATTGCTTATACATTAACTCTTCAGTTGATAATTTCATTGAAGTGTATGCGAAATTATATACAATCGTAATTTTCGCGAGCCAAGCTAAAGACGAATATATTGTGAAGGAAATAGCCCAAGAATTTTCTTTACGTTTAATTATTTCGCGACGAAAAAACTTCAAAGAACCAAAAAGTTAATGCCGTCCATTAGTAAAATTGTCGGTTGTTTTTGAAAGCCAATTGTAATCCTAAGGTGGTGGCAAAGATAAATTGCGTTTATGGAGGTTTTGTATAATACTGCTGGATATTAGCCAATAACAGAAGCATTGTTTTACCCAGGCCAAACGTATGCTTTCCAGAACTGTAAAGTTTTGTTATACAGCTCATAAGTCTCACGGCAACTATTATATTTACGAGAAACAAATGAATAATAATATCAACACGATTCGCTAGTTAAAAAAAATGACCAAAACTGAGTT